TAGTTTATTTTAGCTATTGATTGAACAATAGAACTTGTCCTGGTTTGTCTATAGCACTGTAAGTGCAGAAACAAAGGTCATAAATTTCGATAAGTAAAAATACTATTTATGATTATAATAACAATATAAAATTAATAGAAGAATGATTTATAACTGTGCAATAATTTGCATTTTCAATACAATAGTAACTACGCATGTAACACAGTCGTTAGGTAAGAAAATGTTAGCGCTATGCATGACAACAGTCGATAGCAGATATCTTTACTTGTATCGAAAGGGATCCATATTCATTGACATAGTAACTTATTTGTATTTTTCTTATTTATCACAGCAGGATAGCTATCGCCATTTAGTAATGACGTTCGACCGCAGCAGTTTCGATAGTACTTAACTTGCTTGTGACGTAGATTCTATTTTGATCATCAAGATTAAAACTTATGAGTTACAAAGAAAGGATTTGCAGAAATTAGATAAATATGATGTAATATCTTAATAAATATTATCAATATTGATAGCTAGTAATGTTAATATTTAAGATTGAATCAGCCAGTAACGTCACCTTTATTAGGAATACAGATTTAAGTCTTACTCCTGTCGACGTTAGGTACAAAGCTGAAATTTTGCTATATATCTGTTAGTTTGTGGCAGGCATATGCCTAAAAGATTGATTTAGCTATTAATTAGATGTTTTGTTTTAAATACTATCAGTTAATCTACTTCAATGAGTAAAAAATTAATTTCTGTACTAACTTTCACTTGAAATCTAGCTGGAAATATTTCTTCCAAAATGCAGCAAGAGAATCGATTCAACTTTAAATACCTGGTTGATAATAATACTTCTAGAAATATTTTTCTGATACATTTCAGTGATTTATAGTTACCAAGGATATAAATATACTACTGATATATCAGCAATCTAAAATTGGCATTTAACTTGCTCAGTCTGATAAAAATTATTGCATTTAGAAGCCATCGATTGCATTATAATTTATTAAATATTAGCCAATATGCTATGGACCAATGATGAATTATAAGTTATTAATAACTAATTAACCTAAACAAGTTTTACAGTAACTAAAATAACTAATCTTTAATCATCTAAACAATTCATTTAGAAAAATGAATACTATCATTCAAATCAATAATTTAAAACTAATAACAAATTATCAATTCAAGTTATTTAAGACCTATAAACAAATTTCATGTGTCAATTTTTTAGTCCCAGATGTTGATAAGCTACCGGCTAAGGTATAGTTTAACCTTTTCAATTCCTTACAAAACTCATTTCAATCAGTAATGTTATGGATAGTTTCCGAATTGTATAAATTACTAGGCTAACAACTAGAATGCATCCGATAATTATTGCTGCTTATTCTTATGATTAATAAAATTTACAAAAAATCAAGAATATTTGTCTATATGCGGAGGCAAATGTCATTTTTTCATGAGCTTCATTTAGAGTATTATCAAATTCTTGCGCTTTTACCTCGTAAATTTGCATACTGTTTTTGTCTTATTGTTTAATTTCAATTTAGATAAATAAACGTAACGTAGTTAATTCCCTTGCACAGTTTTTAAGCTGTTGGTAAAAGTCAGCTCTCATTCATTTCAATATAATCCAAAATAAACTTTGATACAATAACATGTTATAACGAAATGGCTAAGTATAAAATAGTACCTACAAAGCCTTGCGAATTCTTTAAGCTAACACAAATATATAGACTATTATCGGAGTCATATTTTATATGCGTTTGTATTGATATCGACTTTAATTAATTAATTAATTTATGGATTATTCAATAGATATACATGTATTTTCTTTAAATTAGGAAATTACTTATAAGAAATTATCGTATTATGTAATACTGATGATTCCTGTAATAATAAAATATCCTATTTCATCATGAGCTATTAACCAATTTGTCTAGAATTTTATAATAAATTAAGAAGATAATATAAAATTTTAGTGAAGTTCAATTATAAATATAAAAGAATGGAATAGTTACATTTACTATGCTCGGAATAAGTAGATAAATTTGTTAAAATAAAGTAGTTATGATGTTTAAACAATTAGTAGAATGTTATTTTAATGTTCATATTTGAAACTATTGAAACAATTTTTGGGTAAACAGGATAGTCGCATTATAAATCAGGTTGATATAGTAATAAAACGGAATAAATCTATCAATTACTGGATATCGAAAGAAAATTTAAATTGATTATAATGAAAAGATAAAATCTTACATTGCATTGAGTTAGTTTATAAAATTTTATGTTGTCATGAGCAAGCTATGAGACAAATTAAATTGGAGTTACTGGAAAGTTAAAATTGATGAATAGGATTCGTATTTTAATGAGACATACTCAACTTTCTTGAGATTAAGCTGTACTGAAGACATAAACGCCTATTTATTGTTAGAAGCGTGGGCTGAGAAGCTAGAAAACAACCGTAAGTAAGTGTGTATTATGAATCTTCTATGGATAAAATTTGATTATCCAACTTTTTAAATTAAATTTAGCACAACAAGATAATCTAGAATATGCTAGAAAGATGTTTTGGTGTTGATACCAAATCAAATTTTAAACAAGCGAATAACCAAATACAGATAGAATTGGCAATTATTGTTGAGAGAAACTAGCATTTTAATTTGCTTGCTTATACTGAATTAGTATAGTTTGATGCAACTTTTAACCATAAATAAAGCTTACTACTAAAATGATAAACAAATACGTCATTTCAAGATTAATCAAGTAGCTAGTTGATGATCGTATTTTTACACTTAAGAGCTGAGATCGATTTGCCCATGCAGTGGCGTGACGGAGGTTATTTTGACATTGGAAATGTTTTCCATTAGTTTTTTAAAGTAAATTTGAAGATGCAATTTTATGGCATTGATTGATGACAATAGCATAATAAGATATATCTAAGTAAAAGGTAAAATAACATTGGATAAAAACGAATTTAAAACAGTATCAATAATAGGTAGAATTGAAAGAAATTCCTTCAGTTAATTATACTCATAAAAAGAGTCTTCTTGTCTTAGCAGGTGGGGGAATCAGAAGGGAGTCATTTCCCAGACAGATCACAGCGGTTATTAACTATTCAAATTCAAATATGATCAATAACTTTACGTTTGCGACATGCTAATGAATTTTATTTCTTTAGACAGTTAGTTCTTTATCGTGTAGTTGGATTATTTTCTATAATAGATCATTTTTTCTTATAACCTTTGAATAATGACGATGATGATGGTGCGCTATATCATATGGAAATAGAATGCGTTGAATAGTCATGATTTTTCTTGAATAGAATTGAATATTGTTACTTTTTTTTTTACTTGATGATGAAAATAATCGGTTGTTCAAATGATTGATTAATCTGTATACACAAAGATGTATGCGGTCTACACTTAGAAGAGGCTAATTCTAGATGCAGAAAAAAAAATTGTATTATTCGTTCCATCCTCTTAACTGTTAAGTTATGGGGGGTCGAGAGGATGTTAAAGGCAGTATTAATGGTATTGTTTAACATGGAATGCTTGAAAAGCTGCAGTAATGCCACACTATTTGTGCTTCAAATATAGTAGTTTAGTAGTAAACAGTGGCCATTATTATCCTTATATTCAATAGGTAAAAGTTATTACAATACTGTGTAGTTGTCAACAAATGTATAACAATCGTTCTTCTTAGCTATAGTTGGGCCATCTTAATGATTGGCTAATTTAGTTATTTCCGAGATGTCCTCGTGTGCAGCTATATACAAGTGATTGGTGTCATCGTTTCTAATGGACTTTTTTTCCAAGTGATATTAAACACTGTAATACACGTATCATTTACAAGTAACAATTCTACAAAACGATTTTAATCCTCATCTAAGCAAAAATTTTTTTAAGCATTTTGTATGCTATTACTGTTATGTAACCAACATCAATTATCATAGTATAATCATAACCCGCATCATCTATCGATTGGATACAAATCTATTATTGCCTACATGCACTTTACTGGATTAATCTTGATTTCTATTAGCCAATTTTACATCAGCATCTATGCAAGTTGGTTATTTCTTCGCTATTTTCATCGTCTTAGTGTCGTTCATCCGTTGGAATAATTCCCATCTACCATCGTAATCCAAGTTAAATTAACCATTTGCGGCAAAGAAAAAAATTGAGACGTGTCCGTTCTGGATGTAGGAAAAGGGAATCTATCTTGCGTTACATATCTAGATTATTCATCGTCAATAGGATTTGCAGGTTGTTCTTCTTATTGACAATTATTTTCACCTACGCGTACTTTTAAACACATGTGTTGATAAAAAGTCGCTAGCATTGGCCATTATTCTATCATCAAGAAAGCGTTAAAAGTAGCTAAAGAACTATAGCGACAAAAACAAGAAGAAGACAAGGGGTAAAAAGTGTGTTATACTTTAATTTAGCGTAAACAAGTTTGAAAAATTTAATTTTTGTATTTTTCTTTCCATGTACTCAACGTTGCTGGTACCGTCATCATCGTTTATCTTATGCAACAGACGGTCATTTTTTTTCTCCTTTAATTTATACTATCGTTGATTGGTCATCATTTATCAATCTGTAGTCATCAAATTTCCTGTCTGTCTTGCGATTATTGCATAACTATTAGACTATCATTAGCACAACGAAAAATAAAACAACTTCAAATTCCACGTTGCCGCAGTAGCAGATAACATCTAAATCGTCGGCAGTTAATTTACCTGAAATTTAACTGGAAGGTGTTCATTAGCGGAAGTGTGCGCAGGCACCAAAGAAAAGGAAATTTAATAATTACTGTAGTTGTCTCAATTCATATAATATTGTTGTTCAAGACAATTTCATTCGATTTGTGTGCCTTGTATTCGAAGCCAAGAAAGGAAAAATTGTTACCTAAATTCACAAACAAACAATTTTAATCTCATCCAACTCTTTCTATTCTGCTGCTTCAATCCGCCATTATTATCCATCAGTAAATCACTTTTCTCAAGCAAAATGAGTGAAAAGCCGAACGTTACAACCAATCGTATAAATTATCGGCCAACTTGCCATGACATCGAAAAGCGTCCAGCAGCAGCGATGTTGTCAAAACATCCTAAAAATTCGCGCTCTAGCAGTTTTTTAATGTTCGTTACTTTAAGTATTATGGCAATTTCAATTGCGACATTGGCTATTCTTTTTCACATGCAACGAATTGAATTGATCCAAATACGACAAGATATACATCAGATAGCTACACAGGTAAGCAAATATTGCAGCACTATTATGTTAGCTATTTTTCTTGAAGACATAAAATTGAAGATAGGGGGCGTTTTATTTGATATCTAGTGAGTGCTTGTCATCTTCTCCAAACAACATATCGCTATTTTGATTTGACTTTCTTTGTATACCTGAATACTCGTTCTATTTTTATTATTTGCCTAGCTAAAGATACGAGCTGTACTATGCATACATTTAAAATTATAATAATTTTCTTGTAAATACTGACGCAGCCAAAATTCCATACAGTACCGTAAGTCAAGGGGATACAGCTTCTAGTTATTGCAAAAATGTTAAAAATGATTATCACACATTACTCGTGAAGAATTGTAAGGGAATGCAAAAGCACCTTCTTCGTTTTACTTTCATCGGTTAAATATATCTTAATACTATACAAATATTTATTTTACGAATGATTTCTAATATTAATTTATTTCAATTTTGACGTTTTATAAGTCGGTTGAGTTATGACGTATGATATTACGACATTTATTGTCGAAGTTTCTACACAGTAATTTATAAGAAATTAATAGCTATACTTATACGGGTACTTGTTCGACTACGATATCCATGTTACGTTAATCGAAAGGGGTTAGATCAAATTCTAATACCAAGATCATATTTCAGCACCAGTAACAGCAGTTGCAATCATTTGTAAGTTAGATGGAGATGTAAATGCACACGTTTGCAAGCTGATTCTAGGGAAAGCTGCGGGAGATCGCTCGCTATTACACCGGCAGATGCATTCTGAAGACATCCTACCTTAATACCATTACGTAGTATCAGGGTTTTACTGACTTTTTACGGTTATTCTGCTAGCTATTTTGACGCTAATCTGATCTAAATAGCTGAATCATGATAAAGCGCAAAGCGATTTTTTACATCAAAACAACTAATGGTAATTCAATATACTCTTCGTTGGAAGGCTCTAGTAGGTTAATTAATAATAGGGATATCAGGAATATGAAAATGGCATTATTCCTACCATTTCTACACCTTATCCGTATGAAAATAAGTTAATTTCAAAAATCATCATCACTCGATAGCGATGAAATTGATAAAATTCACAAAATTAAACATCTTTCCATTAAATTAGTTACAGTATTAATAGTCTTTGCTATTACGGAAAATTTGTATGGTACAGAATGTAGAGTACATAATTAAAGAATTTATCGCATTTAAGTATTTTTGCCAGCACTACAGTATGGGGATCGAACATAAGGTATGGGATCGCTTTAAGTTAGCTGGCTTGTTACCTTTCTATTGCATATCACAATATATTTATTGCAATTAGAGTTGAACAGTGGTTCCTTTTATTGAGCTCAGTTACATTATTTGTACGCTTTCTACAATATAAAAACAAAATATTTATCAGTTGATTATTATAAAAAATAAGTAGCTTTCATTAAACTAGTCAATCATAGTCATTACTGAATTTGATTTATTGCCAACTTATCGAGCTTAGTACGGTATTATAAAAAGTTAGTTTAGTAATTCATAGCCACAATATTTCACTGTTGTTTGTATAGTAATAATGTTGTTTACATATGAATATGATTCCAAACATACACCGACGCTAATGATTGCCCGTCCTCATCTTTGAAAGCACGTCATGATTCAATTAATTATTATTAGTATAATCCCTTATTTGTCACACTGAGATTATCGACAATTATGAGGATAATGAGAAGATATCCTATTTGGTACGTATTTCATTTTTTTAATCAATTCCCGCTGCACCAGGGCGATGGCGGCGTATTTCAATGAATAAGATAATAATCCAATTGATCATGTATAATTTCATTTCTACATTTTGACGCCTGTATATTGCTAGAATTCAGCTACTGTTATCTCCTCTTTTCCAAATTTTTCATAAAAGCTTGCGAGAGCGTCACTTTTCGGAAATGTCAGGATACAATATTGAAAGTAAATGAGAAATAATATTGTTGTAATGATAGTCAATGAAAACTATATATTGAGAAATCAGCTTGCCTTCGCAAATGTGAAGGCTTATGATAGTAACTTACGTAGGAAATAGTTGTTACACTTGTTCATGAGGATAACAGGTCTTATTGAAAAAGAAAATTAGCTTAGAGATAATAAATTGCAAATTTTATATATGTAAATTTATTAACTGATCCGACCCGTATTGATTACCTCTAGCTAATTCATTATAGTAATTCAGAAAAAGGTCACCATGTCTATTCTACATGCTTTTTATGAAAGTCTTAATAATACAGTGAACAATTACGCATGTCCTTTGAACTTCAGCATGTTGCCATCTTATCTTCTATGTCAATATCAGCAATATTAGAGTACTAAAACTTTAAACTATAGCATATTAGACGATTACTTACTATTAATTTGTTGCGACATTAATTTATATGATCGCTAATTTTAGAAATTCTTCAACCTTATCGTCTCTAGAGAATGTACCGTAGTTGCCTTGATCTATATCCTAGTTAATGTATTAGAAATGCACATAGAATCTTTTATCGTGCTCAAAGATGGATTAAATGCTGGCAGTGCCGATGTAAAATCAACGCAGAACATATTTTAGCTTAATATTTAAAATAGGGAAAAGAAGATAAAATAATATTTTTAAAGCAGCTGTAAAATAGAATTTTTTGAATAATCCATCATCGTTAATCAATTCCATGATTACCGTTGCTACCGAGGATTTTATTGGATATATAGATTAAATTAATCTTATTGATGAGTCAATATCTGGCTCATCTGCTGTTTCAAATCATGATAGCGTACGGAAGTATCGCTTGAATAATTACCAGTCCCCATGTACAGAAATTAATAAAATTTTAATTTACTTATAGATTGCTTTAAAATTTGATAATCTTCGAAATGTTGTTGCGTAATATTAGCTTTCGTGTATCATTAGCTGCTTTATTGGCAAAGTATTGTTAGTAAAATAGCGTGATAAAGAGACTTTTCCAGTCCTCTAGTTTAGCAATGGATCGTATAATATCTGAACGGAGTAATTCTTACGATCCGATAATATAATCTACCTCATTATTTACAGATAAGTAAGTACCAAGGATCACAAAAAGATACAACGGCTGCAAGTAAAAGGCGACATCAGTTTATTTCCGTAAGTAATGCAATCTATAGGGATACTTACACAACAATTGCTAAGGAAAAATACAGGCGAATAAATACTTATTTACTAAAAATATAAGAATTGCAAAACCGATACTAAGCTTATTACTTTACAATAGACTACCAATAGCAAGGCAACTACACCTACAACTCCCAACTTGGCATCTAGCCCAGCACCAGATGTAACTCCAAGTAAAAATGCAACTTCTACGCCTACTGGAAAGCTAAACGCTACTCTAACTTCATTATTACAAGTATGCATTATGAAGAATTATGATATTAATATTATAAGAGTTAGAAGTCAAGCTAATGAGAGCAAACTAGCTTAAATTATAATCAAACGAACTTCCGATAAATTAATAAAACAATACAAAATTAAATTTGATCAATAGAATAATGTTAATGGGAGTACTACATCGCTTAATTCAACTGAAAGCAGCATCCAGAAGCAGGTAAGCTACTAATTATCAATCTTATGAATAAGTGTACATAATGAAGCAAGACATCTGTTTTCAATAAAATAAAATGTCTACCGATTATGCAATGTTATGTAATGTTATGTACGTTGTTGCTGTTGGGAGCAAGGCATGATGATAGTACCGTAATTAAAAGAATCTAGATATGTAAATGTGATACTTAAAATGATTCAATAAGATTGGATATATAGTGTCGCCATCGTTTAATTATGCTGTGTTAAGAAATTCTTTTGTTAATATTTATAATCAGAAAGCGACTTCAACACCTTATGAGTACTTCAGAATTAGGACGAAGGATAAAACTTTAGTTTATGTGACCAGAATTGATAGTAAAGTAAGTAAAATTTACTAGCATTACATAAGGAAATGTTTTAGTAAGTCACTGTTTTGATATTTAATTAATTTTCTACTGATAACTTATAATAATGTGACTAAGTAATCCAATTAATATAATAGGTGGATAATCTTGACAACAAGGTGACGAAACTGCATTCTTATATGAAAAGGAGTATAAAAAAGTTGCTAAAATTACACCAGGTATCGTATGATAACTTATAAGTTTCGCTTTACCGCGATTTTTTGGAAATTATCGTTAGAATTTAGCGTATTCTACGCAATTTACATAAACAATCAATGTAATAAATTATCTTTACTAACTTAAAGGACGTTATTAGTACAGAATAGAATAATTATAAGCAAGTAGCAATACAAATTATTGGAGTCGGTCTAGATCAAGCGGCATTATTTCCTCGTATCCGTCAATAGTGTATCTGTACACTTGATACAAAATATGATATTGGCAAAATGTATAGATTTCTTTTATAATTAATGATTATTAAAAAAAGCTCAGACAGTCTAGCAAAATATTTAATTGTAATAATTTATCTTACTTAATAACATTGTTTATTAACTCTATTTACCATGCAGACATCGCCATCAAGTGGAAAGAATAACAGTAATAAAGACAAAGATACAGATGAAAAGAAAGAAAAAGATAAAATTAGTGGCTCGGATTTCTTGGACATGCTTAATAAAAATAGTAAATTAAAGGACAAGGATTAATGCAATTGTAAGGAATAATGGGGCTACGTGATAGAGCAATGATGGAATGAATCTGACAAAATAGCTCCAAACTGAAAGTGCGCCGGATTCTTTTAAAGCACAATGCAACATATACTAGAAATTAAAACGGCGTTGGGTATTACATCAGATTGAGGCGGAAAAGATTTAACCTGAGTACTTGTAAATGGTAGCCTAAAACGATATAGAAATAATTGATAAATCTGAAAACCGCGTGATATTATATATATTTATATATTAAGGAAAATTAATACTAAAGTCTACCTCATCTGCAGAGCATCGAGCACAATTTACAGTAACTATATACACTTTCGACATGGTTATTTACACTTTGCTATTGGTATCATCGATGCTACTCCTAAATAACATTATTAATAGTAATAATAATAATTATAATAATAATAATAATAATAATAATATTGCTAATACTACTACCAATAATAATTATAATTATTATAGTAACAATTATAATAACAAAAACAGGCTGGCATAAAATTTAGATCAAGTTGGAACTTTTACTGACGCACTGATTGTTTTATAATACAACAAATTGCATTATCAATTATATTTGCTAAATGCAAACTTAAAGATGCTCTTAATTATAGGTAAACGAATTAAGTTCATCTTATTTCAGTTCCTAAATTAATTGCAAAATAACGTGGTCATTCTATGTATAATTAAAATCATAAGTAGATGTTTAATTTCCCTGCCGGCTTACAATAGCATTATACTTGATCTTTGTCCATAAAAAGAGTTTATGCATAATAAGTTTAACCTATTTAAAATTTTTAGTGATGCATCAATACTTGCCTTAACTATGTATTATGATTTGAGACTCGATCGAGTTTAATTATAAATTTTGGCTGTTGTCTACTCCTGGGCGGCCTTCACATGATTAACCTATCAATTAGGTATAGCAAATTAAAATTGGCATATTAAGTTTCATCGCAGTATCCATAATGTTACTTCATCTATAAATGTTTTTATCTTCATACTTACTTACACTGTTATAATTCAATACACATGCTACATGTATCATTCACTTCATCTTAATTTAGTGGTACCGGAATTTGCTTTTGCCACTGTCTCATCACACAAGTTGTTATTTAATGCATTATCATGATCAATGAATACAGACAAGGAATAGATTTTAAAATTAACATTAACCTTTAAGGCCATTAATTAACTTTAATATTAAGAATCTTAACGTGATGGTAACAGGAATCTATCAGATTCGGTTACGCCGAAGGGAGAGTAAAATTTAAAAGTTATATAAATGATTGATTTTTGACCACTATGCTATTGGTAGCATCATACTAAAGCTGCTTGATTATGTAATTTCAAATATTCTTAATTTCTCTGTCCGGTAGAGTTGATTTATGACTATATCGCGGCAATTAGCATTGATTCACTTATGTATGTTTCCTAAAAGTTTTGGCTATTTGGTCCAAACTACCTTGAAATACTTTAAATAATGATTTTGATTTGTAATTGTTCATATAGAATTCATTTTATTTAAATTCTGAAGTAAATCCTGGTATATTGTAGACTATCTGGATAATAATATGTAAAAAGAAATCAAGCTATTCATCATAGGGCACCATTATAACTTATATTAATAATACTCAGCAAGGTTCACTATGACTCATAATCTGCACTAGATTTAATCTTATTTTAATTAATCGCTTGTTCATGCTTGATCGTATCTCTTTGTCGTCCACTATGATTGATTGATTGATTGATGATCATGATAATTTCTTTAATGCACTTCCTATTACTGATACTATATTGGTATAGATAGCAGTAACAAAATTAATTGAAATTTCTGCCAGTAATCTTAGACATTTACACGTCTATGATTGCTATTTTAGACAGTCTATTAAACGTTACTGTTGCTTTTATACCGGTACAAGTTTTTGCTAATGTTATTATTAAGAATTGGTAGTTATCTTTTGCTTGCAACTCAGTAATCGACAGTAGGAGGGTAATGTATGGACGGTGGCTTACAACGAATTAAATGCTGATATAAATTAAGCTAAATACATCTCTAGCTCATTTAAGCTAGGAAATAAGAATAATTAATTTATTGTATAAATAAAAAGTTTCGCCTGGTACCTAATCAATATATGCTTCTTAAAACTGCTGATACAATAGTAAAGGCCTTCTGCATATTATCCATAATATTTCACCGTATTAAGTTCATTTAACGAGCTGTTTGTGATAGAAGTCTACAATCTTGTCGCATGATTGAATAAAAATTTTTGGTCAGTCTTAATCATTGATATACTGATGCTGTGACTGATATTATGATTATTTTCTACCGACACAGTCAGATACTGCATTAGCTAGATAGAAATGAAATATTATGGATTCATTGAGGAATTGTTACTATCCGAATTGGATAGTCTTATTTCATATAATCCTATATTAAATAAGTAGGGGAAACGATGAAGGATACTATAAGTAAAGAATTAGGAAGTTTTTTTTGTAATGCCACAAGTTATAGTATTTTAAGAATACAATAATTCAGATTTAGAAATTGAAACCATTCCGTGTAACTATAAGCTAATGTTGCCTTTGGGAAGCTAGTATACCCATGCAAAGTTATCTTTACAACCGCAATTACTTGCTATAGCTTGCGTTTTATTTTTAATTCATGATTATTATTAACCTAATCACTTACATCAAGGCTAGAAATTATGCATGTTTAATTAAAAAATTGATTTAGGATATTAGTACGTACTTGAAAATGTTATGTTGTAAATGTAACATGATACGATATAAAAACTAGTCTTCTAAGTCAATGACAAAATATCTCAGCGTTATGAATAAGCTTAAATTGATGATGTATATTCTATTGTTATTCGTTAGGTAAATACTGCAATTTTTGTTGAGTTGCTTTGAAAGTGATCGTACCTACAGTGTGGCTAAGATTAATAACCTGCATTATGATTGGTAAGCTTTCATAACCATTTGCTAACGCATATGATATAACCAGTCTATAAGATATTGTACTACAGTATAGTCTATAATATTTTCTATCGATTTTATGCTGTTTTTTTTTGGCTTAGCTTTCCTAAATAAATTATTACAAGTGAAAACTTGAGCAAGTGTATGTTTACCTATGACTGGATTACTTCGCGGAAAAAAATTACTTTGTGGTATCATTTTAGTGCTGAATATTCATGAGGAGGAAATATTTATTTGTTTTACGCGGTAATACTTTATTTTATTGAATTGTATGTTTCTAGGAAGAGTACGTTTTCATTGTTAAATAGGATATTCTCGATACATGTGAAGTTATACAAGTCGTTAATGATGTATGATATCTTTTAGCCCAGATATGGCCCAAAATATCAAAATCGTAATCATTGTATATTTCTTATAGGCGTAGTTATCTAACATGTAAATTTTCCATAATTATGTCAAGGTGCCATCAGTAAGGATAGTATACACAAAATAATTCGTAAGACATTGATGCCGATAATAATCCCTGTTACGAAATGATATCCATGAGTCAAATGACTAAATTGATATAGAATTATTAATAAAATTTATGATGATATAACAAAGCAATCCAGAAAAAAAGAAGTACAGCATATGTTAAGACAATGAAAAATGTTGTTAACAAAAGATTTCATTAGGTAAGCTTACTATTACTACTGGGTAGTTTATTAACTGGTTAGAACTAGCTACCGCTGAAGTAAAAAATTTTCTTCTGTACTATCCTATACTTTGTCAGTTTTGGGTATTGAATTTCGCGTGTCATACCAGATAAATTGTCAGCCTTTGCCAATTTGTATTTAAAACTAGCAATACAGTAATCACTACCACATTCACTCTGATTTTTTATTTTTAGTCTTCCATACTTGCACCATATGCGGAGTTGTCTAGAATTTCTGGGGACTTTCTAAAACGATGCAAGAGAACTCTTGAAATAATAATTAATTACAAAAGCATAGTTTGAAAAGTTTTGTTCAGGATGATATTTTGAAAGTGATGATGATTGAATTATGACGGAAGAAAGTATAGATTGGTAATAGATAACAACCATGTCCCATCGTTATGGTCAATACCAATTGGTAAGTCATAACATTGCACTAGGAATAATTTTGATGGAATAGTTAACAATACTACTTAAAGTTGTACGGATAGTCGTGGATCGATAGCTGAATGTACACACATGGTGTAGTAAATTTACAGAATTTTTTTTCATTCTTGTTTATATTGTCGCATGCTATACGAATAATGTGATGTATTGCATTTACTGTGACCGAGTAGTTTACGAGTCGATTGCTTATCGTTAAAAAACGGATACGTGTACCCATCGAAGATTGGTCATTTTCGATTCTGTTCATTCCATGAGTAGCTATTCTTAACACCAATGTGATGTAGATATAATAGCTCTAATATCTTAATTATGGAGGAACATTTGCACGAATTACAGTCACACTATTTAAGTGATTGTACTATTTTATGCTTCTTGGCCTAGTATTTCCTGTAGTATGAGTGATTTATAATCTTACGTTTGATATTTTAATCGATTTCGCCAATGAATAAGATTGTATAGGGCAATACGGGATATTGTCATGATTTACATGATTACTAATTAGTCGGTGCTTTTGGACACGATTGAACCATTTCACCTCTTTATTATGCATTATTCTATGGGTACATTATTGGTAAAATAACGCGAAGTGATCTACTATTATATACATTCCAATTATTGCTACTCTTGTTCAAGTCGGAATCAGTAAACTATTGTATGGCTGGTACGAGGCAGACGCTTCGCTAACAGACATGTTTGCAATTCGAATCATCCATGATTTTTAAAATGTGCTTTAATGAAGGACTTATTGGATAGAACCGTTGAGTTCTCTTGATTAGTCGCTAACGAAGGGGTGATAGACACAGATACACTCCGTCTAGTCAGCTTCCTAATTTTGCCTTTCTACGAGATTGATCGTCTTTCAATACCGTCTAAGAAGGTCATACATCATGGTGTGTTCTAGCCGTGATTCCATATCATACTCCTATCTTACGAATAAGCAGCTGCTTATCGTAACAACTTTCTTCCATACATAGCAAGATATTTTTAATCCTTGTTAATATGACCACACGACCATTGAATTTACTATGATTGTGTACCAGACATCTATAGGTATTTCACTAAAAGATTGTGTTGTCCAGTGGATCGATCAAATTGTATGGGTGGCAGAGATCTCAATGGCACTCTATTGAAAATTCTTCTACTTGAAACTTGCCCGATTATAACTTAGAATCAATATCTAGCTATGACCAGAGACTTCTCTTGAGAAGTCCCTGGTGTATCCTAACGAAAGACCGTTGCTATTCGTTGGCCATGGATTGCTGTATGTGAGGCCATAATTGTGCTGTACAGACTAAATTAAATTTTATTACTATCAGTCGTCGACATCTTAAATGATGTCGACAACCGTAAATACAAGTAGACGACTCTATGATACCATCCGCTTCATATAAAATAAAATAAAATGAATAGTGTGTATGCACAGTGTACATACGCACTATTCATTTTATTTTATATATCTTCTTGATTTCTTGTAACTGTAGTATTTATCACATAAGGCCGTTACTCTCTTCCATAATCCATGACCAAAACGGTCCATTTCAATTCGATCGTCAGTCACATGCTGTACTTACTATATTACGATAACTGTAACGATTACACACAGTACTGTACTATACACTGAGTACTCTATGCAATCTAATGTACTCCACTATAATCAGATGTGATAATAACTTATCTGAGAATGCAGACAGTAAAGCGTATTATTTGCCTCAATAAAGTCATGTATCTGTAAAACCAGAATGGTGTCTTCAATAAAGTAAAGTATCTGTAAAACCAGAACGGTGTATTTGTGACAAGAAAACATGACACTGTGTTTCAGTATACCGTACTGTAATCGATTTGGTTTTCGTGTCTTTTGGCACTGTCTTCTATTCTAATACACGACTTTCTACTTGCCTCAATAAAGTAAAGTATCAGTAAAACCAGAACGGTATCTTCAATAAAGTAAAGTATCAGTAAAACCAGAACGGTATCTTCAATAAAGTAAAGTATCTGTACAACCAAGACGGTGTCTTCAATATAGTAAAGTATCTGTACAACCAAGACGGTGTCTTCAATAAAGTAAAGTATGTGTAAAACCAAAACGGTGTCTTCAATAAAGTAAAGTATGTGTAAAAGCAAAACGGTGTCTTCAATAAAGTAAAGTATCAGTAAAAGCAAAACGGTGTCTTTGTGACAAGAAAACATGACACTGTATTTCAGTATACTGTACTGCAATCAATTTGGTTTTCCTGTCTTCTATTCTAATACACGACTTTCTATTTGCCTTAATAACGTAAAGTATATGTCCAACTAGAACGGTGTCTTTGTGACAAGAAAATATTACACTGTATTTCAGTCTACTGTATGTACAATATCTGAGTAATCCGGGTTATAATGGCTAGGCCTACTTTACAAGAATCGATTTGGTTTTTTGCTTATAGTGGACTGCCGCTGCTTTGCGGTAAAAATTGACCTCACGAATTACTCTTGGATGGACAGACATTTTCCGCTCCATCTTGTCAAAGTATCATGTCCAACATTTGCTGATGGACAGTACTTACTTATGCAGATGATCGCTTTAAATTGACTGATTTTTTCTAAATTAAGTAATATTACGGCCAATCTTATTATCTGTTAGTAAATTACGCTTGGAGACAATTGTACAAGATCGTCCATACTAACAAAACGAGTACCATGATTTTAGAAAAGAGCATGGAAGATGCATACTAAGTAGCCATTTTTCGGGCCGAAAGATGGCTCTCTTTGAGGGTGTAACATTATGATCTTATATAGAAGATGCCTAGTATAGTAATATCCTAATAGACGAATACTTATCATATACCATTAAGTACTGCATTGCATTACATTCATAATATACGACATCATGACGACATATTGACGACATGCTATACATATAAAGACATTATCTCAATCCCATCTAAAACCTATAAATACCCTTGTACTGTACGCTAACTCGTTGGTCAGTTGCTATGTTCCTGCTATCTCCAATACCTTATTTATAACAACCAAATCATTATTAGCTTATAACTTGTATCTCAATAAAATCCTTTATACCTTCTATCATCGTCTACCTTAAAATACTTTACGCTACTTCAAGAAGATATTATTACAGAGGGTATGATCAGTCCATGTCTTCTTCTAGTCGTTGACGACACTGTACAAGACAATACTGTTGTTGAGTCAACAGCTAACTCGCTAATTTACTGCGCAGTACAGTAATTAGGAATTCAGTCTACTGTATGATATTGGCTTTGTAGTATACTCTATACTAGCCATTTTTTTCTATTTCTTATTTCCTTGGACGAGAAGAAGACAATGAGGTCAATTCTTGGGGATATCGAGCGTAACATACTGTGTACAGTAGTATGAGCAATTGAATCGACACAGTCAGTCTACCGTACAGTACTACTGGATTGCTCCTTTGCCCATTTTTCACTGATCCAATTAATTGCAAAATTTGAGACGAATTAGTAGTCTAGGTAGATTTATTTATTTTATTTTATCCCAATATGCCTAAATCTCAATTTAGTCTTATACCGCAGAGATTTCAATTACACGATGCACCCAATAAAGATGAATTTGGAGAGAAATTTTGGCCGTATCTTGTCATTGCATCCCAACTGACTGGGATCTTAATTGTGGCGCTATTATTAATTTGGCTAATCAGTGATTTAGGCGGATTTGGTTGGGATGGCACTGCTGCTCAATTTAATGTTCATCCACTCTGTATGGTGCTTGGCATGATTTTCATTAATGGTGAAGGTAAGTTGGTTCATGATCAATTTTTTCCAGTCATGATTAATTAAGAATGATAAACAAAATGATCAAAATTTCACTTTTCCAATTTGCCTCTTGACAATCACAATCGTTTCATAAAATGCAGTAGACGTACTGTACAGTATAATACATCCATTCAATGCCCGTAAATTTGGCCCTACTTTTTCACTGTAAATGGCAGTCAAGCATTTTACAGCCATCAATACCTTTGATGGACGTTATGATTACAATTTTCTCTTTCAATAACTCAAGTCGACGTAGAAATCCGAGGCTGCACTGATCATTAACGGTCCATCAAATTTTTCACAATATTAAACAATGTTATCGATTAAATGGTAGTTTACTCAGTTTCGGAACAGATGTTTTTATATTTTTACTCATATTCTCTACAAGTACTGACCGGTGATATAATTTTCCACTGTGAAGTACTTATACCGGTATATACGCTTAAGCCAATAATATAATTTAATTTAGAGTTCTTGAAATGTGCATACAAAATATGAGTAAAGGGAATGATTTTAAAAAGTCTTGGTGTAGCTCTACAAGAACCGTTATTCTTTTGCATTGGATGAGAAAGATTAAGCAGTGATATGATATGAAAATAGACACGGTGTACAGTACTACGGAGACACTACATGGTCATAACAGCCGATATATTCAGTACTGTAGTATATTAATACAGTAGAATAACGATAATTTTATTATCAAATTAACTGGCCTTCCATCAAGCAGTAATACCTAGTCAATAACATCATTACAAAAAGATAGAATGACGGCGAAATAACTCTATTTTTCTTTTGCTCAATTAACGCACACAATTAGAGTTTCCGATACAGACTACGTGTACACTGTACAGAACATTAGCCCTGACCATTTTCATACATACGAATACTGTGTATAGCAGTAGAATTGACAAATTTCACAACTTTCCCTTACATTTGATTTACTAATGAGAAATTAAAATACCTTTTACTTCTGTAACTGATTTTATCTTGATTTCAATTCTGAGCCGGTTTCTGCTAGTGCTTCTGCCCTTGTTGTATCACGAATGACAAACAAATAGGACTGTTAAATGAATCGTAGGACAAAAAATTCTTTATCATTTAGTTATTCATTTCGAACGAGAACCTTGAATGATCTTATCGTTTCTCGTAATGATTAAGATAGCAAGGATTACATATACCAGCGATTGATGGTTTGCATTAGAAATTTTATTAAGAGGATAAAATGACTCAATACTGCAGTAAAAATAATGAAAAACATCAAGTGTCGATTGCTCAAAGTCGCGACAACCCATTTACGTGGAATTTTAGCCAAATTTAATTAAATGCCTTGAAAACTTAAAGATCTAATTCTTAAGGGTTGAACAGTTTTCAACTTCTGTTAGTACTGTACTGTATAGGGGAGCTCACCACGCCCATGAAATAGTGGTCTATTTCACTTTCTCTGTGATATCCCAAGGACTACTGTAGAAGAAAATCGACTTCTTCTAGTAGTCCATGGATGTCCTCATATATCGAAAGAATTGGCTTTTAAACCATATACACCAATGTAGTAAGACGTAATGTAGATTTATATGCTTTCGATATACCCAAACAGTATATGAGATCATAAGAGAAGAACGGCTCAAACGAAAATCTAGCTACTCAATTTACACCCTTCTATAAAATGTACTACTTCAGTAAAGAACAGCAGTGATGAAGTACTGTTTTAGAAATACGTTCAGTCACATCAGACTCGTTGCATGCTATTGTAGACAATAAGGAAGTCTGGACGGTATTACGTATTATACGTTGATAACTCTCCGTCATGAGCTATAGTACTTAATGAGATTTATTATACCATATTAATTAATTATAGTTATCAACTATTTCGTGCAGTACTGTGTATCTAGTTTTTCCATTACCTTTTACACTACGAAGCGGCTGATTGGTAATTATGGGAGTCAATCGGTACTCCGATTTTTCATCATGGAATGCTATCGTATTGTTATACGAATGTTATCGTGACTTGTGGGTTGATATGATACTTAAACGTCCGCCATAATAATTTTTGTTGCTGGTGTTGTCAGTAGAATAATCTAATTATAACATTTTTAAAATTGAATTCTTTTCTAATAGCTGCACTATCATATCGAATCTTTCGAAATGACCGGAAAGTCGTCATCAAGGCTGTGCACGCAATTCTGCAAGCTATCACATTTATCTTAATAGTGATTGGCTTGGTTGCTGTTTGGCAATTTCATAACCACAATAAATTCAACAACATGTATAGCTTTCACAGCTGGTGTGGATTAATAACCGTCTTATTATTTAGCTTACAAGTAAGTAAAAATTTTACAATTTCTTGATTATCAATGTAGTGCATTTACAAATTCTGAGGATCCTTCATCTTTGGGAATACTATCCGTTATTACAATATAATCTATCCCTCTATCGTACGAAAACATATCACGTTTTGATGAACCATACCGTACACGAAATTTACTACGATGCTAAGATATTTTTAAAGATTAACTCTGTCCGTAATTTGCAACACTTAATTAAATTGAAAATAACTTGTTTCATTCGGATCTCTTAGTTGACAATAGGAGCTGTTATGTTTATATTTCGTATAACTGGAGAAAGAATAAGAAGTTATTATCTTAAACTGCATGTCTACTTTGGTTGTGCAATCTTTGTTATGGCTATCGCTACTTGCCTGCTTGGGATTAACGAAAAACTCTTTCTCAAGTACTGAAATAAAATATGTAGTTATTGCTATTACTTTATCCACTTTGGCTACAGATAGTTTGGTTCTGCTACAATATTGTAATGACTAAGGGCTTTCTTCACGATACTAGGTATCCTCATTCGTATTCAAATCTGCCATCTGGTGCAGCAATGGGCAACTGTCTTGGCTTAGCAATTTTAACTTTTGGTCTCATAGTTATATACATGCTATCCAGTCCGATCTATAAGAGAAAGCCTGAACCTGGAAACTACAGTTTATCTGCACTAGGAGGGGAAGAAAGTGAGGAAGATCCTATCAAAGATGGCTAGCCAATTCCTTTAGACCATTATTCGAAATAATCAATTGATTGGCTGACTTACAACATAACATGATCAAAATATTACTCGATATCACTTGCTGAAAATATATATATACGTTTTATTTCGTTTCTTTATTTATAAAAAATAATTGTCTACAATTACACCAGTGACAGGTACAGTATAGGGGTTTAGTCATCAAGTACCTACTAATTTATTGATATACTTTAATTCTTTAAACTATCTTATACCATACCTGATTTTATCATTGCCCTGATGATAGTCTCTTGTAGCACGTGGATAGTTATAAAAAATTCGTTATTTCTAAAAAAGCATTACATGCTGCTTAGGTATCAAGGATTAATGTATATTGTCTTACGTCATTTTAATATCGATATAGAAATTAGAAATTACCATTCTACTGCGTGATCAGATTCTAGAAACTTAAGGATATGAACTGCAAGATAACAATATCTGTTATTAAAATAAACAATCACGCAATCCACAGATGTGATGAGGTGCTTGAAAACTATCCAGACTAAAAGGCTAAGTGTTCTTTGATCCGTTGTTCGATTCAACCTATTACGACTAGCTTAGTTATGGTAATCCGTACGTTGCATATGATACACACACGATTTATACTCAGTTTGAATACTTATCCTAGTTACTGAAGCAAAGTCATGCATCACTAGGGAAAACCGGTACTGTATTCTTCTAGTTGTCCAATGTTCATGCTACAGGACATACGGCTTCCGGTAGCATACTGTATCTGTATATTTAACACCCATATTATAAAACTAATAAGATTGATTTTCTCATTTCTCTTGAGTGATCCCTAAATTGTATAGGGGAGCCCTTATAAGATTGAATTGCAAAATTGTAGTAAATAAATTCATTACTTTCAGTGCCTGATCTTATATACTGTCCAGCTTCGAGTATGCGCAATACGTTCATGGAACGGGTACGGTGCTAGTTAAAGTCATCAATTTGTACTGTACACTGTACTGTACAGTACAAATTATAAGTATTACGTATGTATTATACTGTACTGAGCTACAGTATACAGGGAGTGTAGACTGTACTGAGCATTAATGGCCAGTCGAAGTGCAATAAAGGCTTTTTGAAGGCCATCTTTGCCCTCAAATCAACTTAATTTTTTAATATGTACAATTCAATTTCAGTTACTTCAGCACGGTCAAAAATTCCTTAAAATGCATAGAAAATAGAGAAAATGGAAAATTTCTGCAGTAAGACAGTAAACGACTTTATGACAGTAATTTAATTAGGTAAATGACAGCGTTTGATAAAATTTTTATGATCAGTAAATAGATGAGCTGTACGGTGTACAGTAGACTACTTCTTGGATAATTTGTCAAGTAGAGATTAATAGCAATTACAGTATAGTGTACAAGCGTACATTATTCCTTACTTATAAGAAATCTCTTATGGCTTTACCTGCATACATGTTATCCTTGGAGTACGAGATTCTGTAACATTAGCATTGCATCCGGCCCCTTTGGTATATTATTGGATGAATACGCGTACGCGTACAGTATGTCGACTTTTAACTCTTTGGATAAAACGTGAGCATGCTGTATACCGTATATACTGTACACTATATATTACCAATTTGGGCCGTAATATATTATATATATATAACAGAACATATATCATAAATAAAATATAGACGCGTATATATATACTGTATATTCTCGATGCAAGCGTATCGTAGTTAGGAGAATCACTGCTATCAGATGAATCTCATTAAACGCTATATTTTAATACAGAAATGTCATAAAATGGATTATATGAACGACGAGTAGATATCTCCTATTGATCTAGCTAGTGACGCATGGACATGATCTAGGATTTAGGGTAGTCAAACGGGTATGAAATCGTATAAGCACATGAATTGATGTTTGTAGCAATATCGATATATCGCTAATCATTCAAGGTGTAATGATGATAAGTATGCTATATTTAAGTTTCAAAAAGATGCTCCATTCCTCAAATCTCGTTAAGCAGGTCTAGAAGCTTACCTTAACTAGTATTTAAGGTTGATCACAACAATACAAAATCATGACTCAGATCATAGTGTTGACTTTGCTGTCAAATTTATGAACTTGGTAATAATAGTATACTATCGATATCGGTAGCTTAAACGTCAATTCTATTTAATATTAACTGCAGTGATCGTTGATACAGTATTTGAACAGAAAACCATCAGAATCTGAAAAACTGATGCCACAAACTAGCTATTTATTAAATGTTCATCCTCTTCAACACCAAAGTTACCCATAAGGAAATGCTATTGATCAATAACTTTACTCTAATTTTACATACCTCCCTAACAGACAAAATTTTTTTAAACCCTATTTCACCTTTTAATATATAAAGTCAGTGTTTTGATAAGGAATAACAAATGTAGCGAACGCTAAACTGATTGTATGACATTTTGAACAATAGATGCTTAAAATAATCGGTGAGAACTTGACAGATGGTCAGATCGGTGGAATAGTCACACCATCAAAATTATTCGCCTTGAATTAGTTTGCCAATGCCGATATTATAACGTTGACGATAGAAATAGTCCATTTTGATAAATTATTGAGTTGTATGACATTAAAAGGATAGTCGAAATATTTCCCTGTATGGAAAGGAATTAATCTTACCAATACCCGTGGGATAAAGATAGAAATATTTGTGGTATTTCAATGTACACAATATGAAGCTTGGGTCCCTATATAAATCGTTAGTATGCTCCTACACTTTAAATTTTGAAGCTATTAAATGCTGAACAATTATTCAAGTGAGTCGAATTCTTTTCTTGGATGGGGAGGAGCTGGTCTCTGTTGTACAGATGAACAATGTAATTGTACCAACAGTAACTTTCTTAAATCGAAGGTTTCGATATATTTTGTCAGAAAAAGTACAATTTTTTTCCCCTTCGATTGCTTACACAGATATCTAGTAGATTGATCACTAATCTGTTTACATGCTAGACTCGCATTTAGCAATGCTAATTAGAGTCTGCAGATCATTATTTAATCAACTGTGCTTATAAATTAGCGGCTTCCTTTCAAAATCATAAACTATGCTGATTTAGTAAGCAAATAACTCCTACGAGTCATCCTTATTTTTGTTTGTTTACATATGACTAATATGAGTGTCTTTATCACGTGATGGGCTGGGTGAAAGCAAGAATAGTATAAATCATGATGGCGGCCTTTAAACTGGTATCAAAGCAATTCTTTGTTTAATAAAAATTATTGTTTGATTCATATTCTGCTATCCAACGCTGTGATAGCATCATAGTAACATTTTGTTTGCGTGTCATTAAGCAATTAGCAACAATGTTGACATAGTGATGTACCCTTATATCCTTCACGTCCATGTAACATGTCGCTGTTATGCCGGATAAATTTTATCTTGAGCTAATGTACTTTGGACATTTTTCAACTGCTTATCTGTTTAGTATTAATGAATACTGTATCCATGCCTGTTATGGCTAATAAATTCTGTCTTGTGCTAATGTACTTTAGATATTTTTTGATTACCTAATCCGTTTAGTTCCAGTGATATATCCTTATACTGTATTCTCTATGTTTATCCAACACGTTGCTGTATTAAGCCTGACTAATTAATTTTATCTAGTGCATTTAATGTGCTTAGGACATTTTGACTACCCGTGTAAGCCCGTACCTAATCTGTTTAAAAATACTAGTGATATACCCTTATATCCTCACATTATCTAACATGCCTCTGCTATAAATTTTACCTTGAGATAATGTGCTTTGGACAATTCTTGACTATCGGTACCTATTCTGTTTAATATTAGTGAAGTACTCTTATATCCTCTATGTCCATCCAACGTGTCCTGCTATGCCTCATAAATTTATTTTGTGCTAATATGCTTAGGATATTTTTTGATTACAGATTCTATTTAATATCAGTGAAATACGCTTATATCCTCCATGTCTCTCCAACACTTCCCTGTTATGCCTTATAAATTTTATATTGAGCTAATGTGCTTTGAGCATTTTTGACTACCTAATCTGTTTAATACTAGTGATATACCCATATATCCTCCATGTCTATCCAATATGTCCCTGTTTTGCCTCTTAAATTTTACCTAAGCTATTTTATTTTGGACACTTTTGATAACCTAATCTGTTTAATATGAATGATATACCCTCATATCCTCTACGACTATCAATACATCGCTATTATGCCTCATGAATTTTATCTTCAGTTAATCTACTTTGGACATTTTTGACTACCTAATCTGATTAATTTAGTAATATACCCTTATATTCTCTACGTCTATCTGACGTTTCACTGTCATGCCTCATAAATTTTATCTTACGGTAGCGTGATTTGAATATTTTTGACCATCTAATCTATTTAATATTAGTGATATACCGGGTACCTTTACATCCTCGCATCAATCCAACACATTGCTATTATACCTGATAAATATTATCTTGTGCTAGTCTACTTTGAACATTTTTCGACTACCTAATCGGTTTAATATTAATATTATGTGTTGAACTTGCATTGCCTTTACCCTAGTCATGGATAATTTGAGGTGTACGGATCCTGCGGGTAACTTCACCAAGCCGGAGACGGTATATTAAATTGACCAAAGCAGTCCAATTCTATATAACTTCAATTCAAAAGTTGAAATGATATCAGTTATTATTATGTAATGAAAAATTTCGCTAATTTAATACTTAAGAAGATCTTCAACTAGCTATCCCAAATCAATGCGGTGGATGCATCTAGATTGGATGATACTATTGAGAATTTTAGAAGCTCAGCATTCAGTGCACTATTCATATCTAAGAAATTACTGCATTACCTTCTACAGCCTAATATGCAAATTTAGATTTTAAATTTAAAATCGATACTGATTTATAGATATAGATCTAGATACTTGGTTAATACCGAGCAATCTTGAGCTAATATCTTCTCTGAATGCCTCCTACTTAAGTACATTCCATGTGGCTAGG